CCCATCCACCCACCCATCCATCCATCTCCCCATCCACCCACCCATCCATCCACCCACCCATCCATCCATCTCCCCATCCACCCACCCATCCATTCATCCACCCACCCATCCATCCATCTCCCCATCCACCCACCCATCCATTCATCCACCCACTCTCCATTCATCCACCCATTCATCCAATCCACTTATCCCCCCACCCATCTACCCATCCACCCACCCATCCACTCACCCATCCAGCCATCCACCTGCCCACCACCCATCCACCCATCTATCCACCCATCCACTCAACCACCCATCCATTCACCCACCTACCCACATTCCCACCCACCCACCCACCTACCTACCGACCCATCCATCCACCCACCCATCCACCCTCCCACCCATCCACCCACCCATCCACTCACCTGCCTGCCCATCCACCCATCCATTCATCCACCCATTCATCCATCCATTCACCCCTTCACCCATCTACCCACCCATCCACCCATCCACTCACCCACCTACCCACCCACCCATCCATCCACCCATCCACTTACCCATCCACCCACCCATCCATCCATCTACCCACCCATGCTCCCATCCACTCATTCATCCATCCATCTACCCACCTACCCATTTACCCATTCATCTACCTACCCTTCCATCTACCTACCCACCCTCCCACCCACTCTATTATTTATCCATCTACCAACTTACCCATCCACTCACCATCCATCCATTTAATCCACCCAGCCATTCATGCATTCTCTCTACCCGTCCCATCCATCCATCCATCCATCCATCCATCCATCCATCCACCCATCCATCCTACCATCCATCCATCCATCCACCCATCCATCCTACCATCCACCCACCCATCCATCCATCCATCCGTCCATCCATCCATCCATCCATCCACCCATCCATCCTACCGTCCATCCATCCACCCATCCATCCTACCATCCATCCATCCATCCATCCATCCATCCATCCATCCACTCCACGTTGTCATCCATCCTTTTATGTGTGCTTCCACTCATCCACCCATCCATCCATCCAAAGCTTACCAAGCAGCCCCCTGTGTGTGGACCTGCGCCGGGCACTGGTAACCCAGAGATGAATCCGCTCCAGGCTCTGCCTCATGGGCATCTAGTCTCCTGGGGGAGGACACTCCAGCAGACCATCAAGTACATGTAGATCAGAGCTGAACTGGCCACTGCAGGGCAGATAGGGGATACATGACCAAGTCTGTCTGCAGGTAAGGTATGGTCAGTCAGGGAAGGCTTCACAGAGGAAGGGGAGATTGAGCAGAGTGTTGGGGGCTGAGAGGTCTCCCTGTCAGCCAGGATGAGAGTGGCCAGTGTGTGCAAAGATGCACAAAACTGTAAGGGGCATTTGGGGACCACAAGTTGTGCTGGTTGGCTGCCGAGCAGGGCGGTGGGAGATGGCCAGGGAAGGCCTGGATGTGCTGGGCTGGAGTGGGCCTTCAGCGCCACGATGAGGGATTTCACATCTGCCTTCCTCCTCTTTCCCCGCTTCCCAGCCTCTGCCCCTCCTCACTGCCAGGGCCTCTCCTCTGTCCGCACTCACTCCAGAGGTGGCTTCACCTTGTGGCTTGAACCACCATCTCTGTGCTCCTGGCTCCCGTGTGGCCCCCCAGCCTGGCCGTGTGATTTGTGTCCGGGTCTTAGTTCATAAAGGGGACTGAGTGGGCCCTCGGAGAGTCGGCGTTACACTAGAAACAAGAGGCTGGAGCCCCACACGGGGCCACGAGGGAAAGCACCAGTGTTGGTCGGGAGGCAGGGAGGAGCAAGGCGGATCTGGAGCCAGAGCTAGATTTGGAACTATTACTGGGGGTTCTGTGGGAAAGCTGAGGCAGGAGCAACAGCCTAGGACTGGCTGGCGTGAAGGATTCCTGAGTGGGGGCACAGGGGCAGTCCCTGCTTGTCCGGCCCTGGCCCCCGGGGACTTAGGGCAGGGGAGATCCTGGCTGAGAACGTGAGTTGGACAGAGGGTGGGAGGGGTGTGGACTCGGCATTGCTTGGTTGGCAGGTGAAAGGTGGGCCAATAGCTTGTTTGCTTTCTCTAGGACTTAGCTGGCCCTGCGAGGGGCCGTCTCTCCCTGGCCGGCAAGTCCCCCGTGATATCAAGCATCACAAAATATAGACAATTTTAAAAACAATTGCTACACAGTATCCTCTGAATTCCAGACTTGAATATCCAGCTGTTTAGCGATCCTTTCGAACTTAGCATGTCTGCCACTGAGCTCTTGATCTCCCCGAGCCTGCCGGTCCCCACACAGGTGATGGCAACCCTTTCCTTCTGAGTGTTCAAGCCTGAAACCCTGGGGTGCCCCTTGGTTTCTCGTTTTCGCTCAAACCTGTACCCACTCCAGCAGTAGATCTTGTCTCTACCTTTAAGACATGTCCAGGATCTGTCCACCACTGTCCCCTGAGTCACTAGCATCTCCTACCTGAATTACTGCGGAGCACCCCCACCCTCCAACAGGTATCTGGGTGTCTGCCCTTATCCCCCTCAGTACACTGCCCACACAGCAGCCAGGGAGGTCGTGTTCAAATACAAGTCCTTTTCCTGCCCTGCACAAACCCCCCAAGCCTATTGAACCGAGTCAAAGCTAAAGTTGTCAGCATAGCTTTCAGCGCCCCTGGGATCCCCCCGCCCCTCACTCCCTCTGAGCTCCTCTTCACCCATTCTCTCCTTCCTTGCTCCACTCCAGCCGCACTGGCTTCCTGGCTGTTCCTGGAATAGTCACAGGCCCACTCCTGCCACAGGACCTTTGCACTCACTGCTCTTTTCTGTCTGGAAAGCTCTTCCCCAAGATCTCTGCCTGCTTCAATTTCCCACTTCCTTCAGGTCACTGCCTTTGCCTTACCCCATCTAAGAGGTCCTCCCTGAACACACTGTTTAGATTGCACCCCCTCCCCTTGGTTCTTGTTCCTGAGCATCCTCCCTGCTTTCTTTCTCTTGCTAGAACATGCCCACTTGTAACATGTTAGCATTTTGCTTATTTATTGTGTGCGCCTTCTTCCTCTGATTGAAAACTCAATGTGGGTGTGGAGTTTTGTCTGTTTTGTTCTGTGCTGCGTCCCCAGTGCCTAGAACATGCTGGTGCTCAAGAAATATTTGTTGAATGACTGAGTAAATTAGTATTTTACGTAGAGATGTGCTTGAAATAAATCCAATACTGTGAAGTGTGTTTTGCCTAAGTATGTGGTTGTCTCTTTACGGATTTCTGCTTAGTTCCTGCAAATTCTGTGCACCTTGGTCACAGCCCTCCTTTCTGTCTTTCTCCCAGCCCTGCTGTCCAGTCAGGCCCCCCTAAACCCTGTCCAGATTGAGGAGAAGCTGGTGCCCCCACCTGTGATCCAGTCTGACACAGAGGTGGAGAAGCAGCTGATCCGGGAGGTGAGACCCGGGGCAGGTGGGAGAAAGGCAAGCAGGGGGTGCCCAGGAGGAGAGCATCTGCTGAACGATATCATTTTACCCCCACCAGCATCGTGGGGTTGGTACAACAGTCTCCTTTTTGGAGCTCAGAAAGCTGAGGCTCGGGGACGGGCCATGACTCGCCCAAGGTCACATGGCTAAGGAGAGTCTGAGCTGGGGTTTGAACTCAGGTCCTGACTCCAGGATGCAGCCCATCCCCCGTCAGGGCCTGCATGGGGAGCACAGGGAGGGGTGTGGGGCGTCTGCAGGGGTGCTGTCTCTCTTCTGTACTGTAGGACGGGATGGCTGTGGGTTGGTGGAAATGGAGCCCTTCCTGGTGGTGGGAACGGCCTGTGCTGGGCTGGGGTGGGGGTGTAGGGAGAGTGGAAGGAGTTGGTCCCCAGTGCAGGTGCCAACAAGCCAGAGACTGAGAGCCAGGCGGCCTGGTGGGCAGTGGGGAGCCCCCAGGCATCCATTTGACCAGTGGATAAGTGGGGTGTTGGCCTCCCAGAGAAAGCTGTCACCTGGGACCCCTCCTCCTCCCCCATGTGTGCCTTCCAGCATCTCTGGGAACCAGCAGGGCAGGTAATAATACCCTGATTTACAGATACGGAGCTGATCCCTAGAGGGGGGCTTACACAGCCAGACTCGGCAGAGCCCCTAACTCCCAGCTTAGGCTCCGTCCCGACTCCAGGCCCTACTGGTTTCTGGAGATTCCTGCCATTTGAGGGCCCCATTCAGATACCTGAGCATGGGGTGGGACACTGGCTTTTTCCTGGTGGAGAAGGAACACCAGGCCGAGACAGCTCTGCAGGGACTGGGTCCCTGGATGTGTCCGCAGCTGGGCCTCTACCCCTCAACTATAAACTCAGCTATAAGCCCTGGGGTCCTTGGGAGCCCTGGTGAGGTTGTGGGGGTTTGGGGCCCAGCCTCTGCGGGGGGCAGACTGGGTAAGACCTGGGAGTCTGAGTCATGTGGGCTGGAGGGCTGGGAGAAATCAGCCAGAGTCCCCAAGGGCTGCCCATGACAGGCAGAGGCTTTTACTGTTTGGGGGGAGGCTCAGTTGTGGCCCCCAGATGGACTTTGTCAAGGGGCTCTGCTCCTTGCCACCTTGGAGGCTCCTGGGGTGGGGCCGACGTCAGGTCCATCTCTGGAGCCCTGGACCCGGCTTCTGGGGAGGCATGGGGTGGGGGCCTATTGGGGATGGCTGAGCCACAGAATGAGAGGAATCACATGGGTTCAGAGTGGGTTTTGGAATCATGTAGCAACAAGTGACATCAATCACAAAACAGTAGGGCTGGGAGGGTTGGCCAGGGGCTGGGATGGAAGCTTCCCCCCAAGGGACCCTGGTTGGGTGGGGCAGGCACCCTGGCCAAGGGGCAGGATGCCGCCATCCCCTCTGGGTCACCAGAGAGGAGACTCTGCTCCGGGCTGGCTGCCCCAAGGAGCCAGTGATTGGCAGGTCCTTCTGCCCCGGGGATGGTGGTTGCTGGCCTTGTCGTCATGAGATAGGCCCTGTGGCCACTGCATCCAAGCACTACCACCTGTCCACGACCGAGTGTCCTCTCAGGCCCTGGTGGTTCTTCTGTGAGCCACACTTGGAAGAAGAGTCGAAGGTGTCTGTCTTCCCTCTCGCCTTCTTTCCCATTTCACTTATGACCCACTCATATTTATTAAGAGCACCTACTGTGTGCCTCGAACCGTGCTTTCCTTTCCCATCCAGAACCAGTCAGGACACTCAGGATGAGGGGGTGATCCCTGTGTGGGGCGGCGAGGGCACTGGGCCAGGGGTGGGCTCCGCCACGAGCGGGAGGTGTGACTCTGTGGGCTTCAGTCTCCTGGCTGCACCAGGGAAGGGGGGGCTTTGGACCAGAAGATTCCTAGGGTCCATCCGGCTTTTCCATTCTGCAAGTCCAGTTCTTGGTGGGCTCTGTGCCCTGGGATGGGCTGTTTAAGCTCGTGGAGCCTGTTTTCTCATCTCCAGGGAGCTTTCCCTTGACCGTGGGAAGGGGAGCTGAGGGGTGCCTTCTCACCATTGGGCTGTGGAACTGGCCCCAAGCAGGACATGGGGGGCTGGGTTTGCAAGCATTTCCTGGGCCTCTGCTGGCTCCGGGCCCTGTAGCTGGGGGTGCTCAGGGGGCCATGGGAGAGTTGTTCTGTTTCGAGTATTGGAGCACATTTTGTAACTGCTGGGGGTGATCTAGCACCGAGAGAAGCCCGTGCTACAGGAGGGAGATGGGGATGGAAAGAGCAAAGTCATGGAGCAGGTGGCTTGGCTTCACAAGGTCTGTCCCCTGTCACAGGAGGACAAAGAGCTTTCGGGCAGACCTGCAGGTGGACGGGAAGGTGTGGGCTGGGATGGTGAGGGCATACTTCAGTGTTCTCTGGGAAGCAGGAGATGGGAAATGGGAGAGGTGGAGGGTTGCAGAGGGAGGTAGAGCAGAAGGACCCAGGAGGGGCGCTCAGCGGCTTAAGAGGTCCTCTGTGGTTCAGGGTCACACATGTACAACTGGGACTGGAAGTTGGTACTGCTGTATGTGTGCATGTGTGTGTATGCATGTGCACACGTGTGCTCACGTGTGTGCTCGTATGCATGTGTGCACGTATGTGTGTGCACGCGTGTGCTCGTATGCGTGTGTGCACGCGTGTGCTCGTATGTGTGTGCATGTATGCGTGTGTGCACTCGCGTGTGCTCGTACGCATGTGTGTGCACGTATGCGTGTGTGTGCACGTATGCATGTGTCTCCAGCCAGGTCTCGCTGGTGTGCAGGTGTGACGAGACTGAGGCCTGGGTGTCACTGGGGCCAGGGCCGCGCTGGCAGGGAACTGTGGAGGGGGCAGGATGGAAGTCAGAGGTGCTTGCTGAGTATAGGGTAGGGCCTGAATCCCCACTGGGGAGGAGAGGAAGCCAGGGCAGGGGGGCGGGGGACAGTGAGAAAGCAGATGGGGTGTAGGAGGTCTCCTGTGTCCACTGGAGAGCTGCATGGTTCTGGGCAAGTCACCTCCCTGGGCCCCAGTAACCCTACGTATTGCCCTGAGGCTCAAATGCATCTCAAATGTGCCACAGAATGTGCAGTCACATATTAATGATTCTCTATCCCGTTCTGTCCCTCCCCGAGAGCCCAGGTCATAGTGTCTGTGCCGTTGTAGAACTCTGGGCTTGTTCTGTGTTTCTGGAAGGGTCCTAATGAGGTGGGCGTGTGCACAGGGGCTCTCCCTCCCCTCCCCCTGTCCGGTCTGGCTGGCTCTCTCAGGGCGGCTCCACGACACAGAAGGTCTTGTACTGTCCTTAGCACGTAGCCCTGGCCCCGCCTGTGGGAGCCGTGCGTCAGAAGCCTGAGTGGTCCGGTTGTCCTTTCGGCCAGTGGTCAGCTCCAGGCACTTGTGGACTCAGGAGTTTCCCCTGAGCCCCTCCCTCCTCTGTGCTGGGCGCCGAGCTGCAGGAGGGGACGGTGCTGTCTGAGAGGGTGGTCAGGGAGGGCCGCTTGGAGGCGGTGTTACTGAGCTGAGGCCTGAAGGAAGAGCTTGCTGGGGGGCGAGGGTAAAGCCCCTGAGGCAGGGGGACATGGGCTGTCAAGGAGTGGAAAGTAGCCTGTGTGTCCAATGTGGCAAAAATGAGGTATATCCACGGGGTGGGCCGTCCAGATTTCTGGGGACTCAGTCAAGTCAAGAGGCGTCGATTTTGTCCTGAAACATAGGAAGCCATTGAAACATGGTCTAGGGGCACCTGGGTGGCTCAGTCGGTTGGACGTCCGACTCTTGATTTCGGCTCCGGTCATGCTCTCAGGGTCCTGGGATCGAGCCTCACATCTAGGCTCCGTACTCAGTGGGGAGCCTGCAGGAGATTATCTCCCTCTCCCTCCCCCCTCTCCTCTTCCTCCTCTCTCTCTCTCTCAGATGAATAAATAAAATCTTTTAAAAAATGTAGATAAAATTCAGAAGGGCCTTCACCAGCCAATTTCGTCCCCGTGTTGTGTAGGTAATTTTAACTTTGTTCTTTTGGCTTATTGGTATTCCCCACGTTGTTTGAATGACAGAGAAGGCGAACTGAAAGCCGCCTTGGGGAGTGGTGGTCTGACGCTGCCCCCCATCCCGTGTCCCCCCAACTCCCAGGAGTACGAGCAGCGCCTGGCCCGGCTGAGGGCCGACTATGAGGCGGAGCAGGAGTCCAGGGCCCGGCTGGAGGAGGACATCACTGCCATGCGCAACTCCTACGACGTGAAGCTGTCCACGCTGGAGGAGAATCTGCGAAAGGAGACAGGTGGGCGCCTGGCCCGGGCTGTCGGGAGGGTGGCCAGCTGGCTCCCCTCCCCATTTTACTAACTGACATTTATAGAGCATCTTCCTATGCACCAGGCTCAGTTCTAGGTACTCCTCAGTACAGCCCAGCAAGGTAGGTACCACCATGAGCCTCATTTTATAGGTAAGGAAACTGAGGCACAGAGAGGGTGAGTAATTTGTCCGTGGTCATACAGCTGGTGAAGTGAGTCAGGATTGGAACCCAGGCAGTGTTCTCACCCACCCAGCATTGTATCTGTGAAGCCGGTGGCCCCGGCTGGGCCCTAATCCAAGGCGGACTTAGCATTACAACATATCACCCATATTTCATGGGTAAGTTCCTTCCCCCCGTTTCTGCATTTTCTAGTCTCCTCCCATTTTTGAGCCCCTCTGTTACCAAAGCAACCACATCCCAAAATAAGGATTCAATTATAGCAAGGACTTTCACCTTGCTAAAGATTTTCGTTGTCTTTTTGACATTCTAGAACGTTCCACCCTACCACTATCATCCAAACACCTGTGCTGCCAGGCAGCTCAGACTTCCTAGTGCTCACCAAAATACTATAAAATCCACCTTGTAATGAGGACAATATTGGTCACATCGTGGGTGCCATTTATTGGGCATTGCTATGTGGCAGGTGCTAGGTGCTAGGTACTCCATCAGTGAGTGAGGACGTACTCACAATGAGAATCCTCACATTGCCAGTGTGCCAACTGAGGCTTGGAGAGCTTCCGGCCGCTGAGCTAGGGAGTGGATGTCCCTTAGCAAAGGGAACGTCAGGACTCTCTCAGGGGAGCCCAGGACACAGTGACAAAGAAGTGGGTGGATGTAAAGCCCATGAGCTGCGAGCCCTAAGGAGGCCTGTGGGATTGCGGTCTCGTCCACACTGGCAGACCCAGAGGAGAGGGAAGGGCAGGTTCTAGCATGTTCTGTCCTTCAGAGTGTTCCCCCAGTCCAGTTTGAATATTAGGCCTCCAAGTGGTTTTATTTGATCTAACAATCGTCCGCAGTGTTCATTTAACTCCCATGGATCTAGCATTTTTTGTGGGTGAGAGCCCTGAGCAGGACACCCTGTGGGGGCCCCTCGGGGTCTCGGATGTGAAGTTTGCTTGCTCATCTGGAGCTCTCGGCCTTGAAGGCCATGAGACCCACAGGGCAGTCACCTTCTGTGCGAAGAGCAGCCCCAAGGCAACTAATGGCTGGAGAGGTCGGAGAATGGAGAGCTCCTGGTGCTGGTCAGGGAAGACTTCCTGGAAGAGGAGGAAGGAGACGGGGTCTGAGTTCTGATAGAGGAGAGGGCAGAGGTGGGAGGCCAGTATTTGGGGGCCTGGGAGGCTCTGGCTCTTAAGTCCGTCCCTTAGAGATGGTGTGTTTGGGGCTGACCCCCAGGGGCTCACTCGTCCTCCACTGTAAGGAGCTAAAGGGAGTCTCCATTTGCAGAGGCTGTCCTCAAGGCAGAGGTCCTCAAGGCGCAGGGCACATCCAGGGCCGAGTTTGCCAACAGGTCTGAGTGCTCCCCCACGTTCCACTCCGAGATGGCCGTGACACCCGGGATCCACTCCATGCCGCACACCCTGCCCGGCGGGGATGTCTCCAAGACTGAGCTTTCTCCTGCGTTCGAGATGCTGCCTGTGGCGGAGACTTCCAAGTCTGAGGTGTCTCTGGGGTCTGATGAGTCTTCCACGCTCGAGGAAACCTCCATGTCCGAGGCCTGCCCAGGGCCCCAGGAGCCTTCCGACGTGGAGTTCTCCGTGCCCGAGGCGGAGGCCCAGAGCAGCTACCTCCCAGAGCCGCACCTCAGCCTGGAGGCCACGGAAGCCCTGCCGCAGGCCGGACCCGTCCAGCTGGCAGCCCTGGGTCTGTTGCCCAGCCTGCATGACCCGTTTGCTGAGGTGGAAGCCAAGCTGGCCAGGCTCTCCTCCGCAGTGGCCGGGGCCGAGGCGCTCCAGGCTGGCGCACCCAGGCTCTGCACACAGGTAGCCGGTGCCATGCCAAGAGTCAGCAGGCAGAACTCGGCTGGGGGCACTCAGGCCACTGGGCACGCACCCAGTTCTCACCGTCTGTGCGGGGGGCTCCGGCTTGGTAGCCGGAGAAGCCCTGTCTCGTACTCCGTACATCGGGAGGGAAGGGGGGATGGAGATAGGAGGCTTTGCCAGGTGGGCACCTGTTCTGCTAATGGAGGGACACCCATTTGGGGGGTTGGCTGAGTTGCCATGGTTACACCAAGCTTCCAGGCCCGAAAGAAGGAGCCGGAGGAGGCTGGGGGCTGCGGGAAGGCTGCTACCTTTCAGGGGCTCCCCCCGCCGGCCCCGACCCCGGGATCCTGCCGCTTTGCTGGATGCCTTCTCTCCTTTCCACTCTCTTGTATGGTTTAAATTCTCTTCCCCCTCTCTTCCGCTTGTTTCCTTCCTTTTCCTTTCCTTTCCTTGTGTGTGAAGAGCCTTTGAGCCGGACAGCCCCGGGTTAAATCCCAGCTCTACCACTCACATAGTTGTGGGACCTCGGGCAGTCACCTTTCTGGGGCCTCGGTCTCCTCTTCTCTAAAATGGGGGTGCCGACACTTGGTGCTTCACCTGAGGTAATGAGATGCTCCTGGAGCACGCTCCCTCCCCCGTTCTCTCTTCCCTGTTCTCTTCGCTCCTCGCCCCTGCTCCCCACCGGTCCCCTCAGCGGTGACAGGCAGGAGGAGGTGGTGGCTTGGTGAGGCACGGGGCAGGGGCATGGGCGCTGCAGGGGCGGTCAGGGAGCAGAGGATGATTCTGGCCCACTGTCCCTCTCCCCCTCTCCCCCTCTCCCTCCCTCCTCCCCCCGTCCTCCTGCAAGCGCCCCTCCCTGACGGATCTGCTGGGACCTGGTGTCCTTAGGGCTGAAGCTGAGACAGCTGACTGCCTCCTGCCCAGGGCTGTGAGTCCCCCCGCCCCGCCACCGCCAGACCCTCAGATTGGGGGAGGAGTCCCAGGAGCCTGGGTCTTCCTGTGACACTCTGGGCCTCAGCGTCCTCACCTCCGAGACAGGGACTATGACCCCAGCCCACCCCCAGTTTATTGGAGCTGGCCTGTCACAGAGGAGTCCTACCTCTTATTATTGATGTGATTAAGAGGCCACTGCTCAGCAATTTTCACATTTTGCTTGGCCTTCGGAGCCGGTCTAAAGCAAGGAGGCCTGGCATGTGCTGAGGGCGAGGGCTGCAGGGCAGGGGTGGGGGTCCCCGAGGCGCTGGCAGGGAAGCGCCTGGGCCTCATGTTGAATACTCCTAGCCTCAGAGCTCCCCCTTCTCCCTTCTGCTTAAGAAAGTGCAAGAGGCCACGGGGAATGAGAGGAAGGCTTTAAATCTACCCACATGTGCGGAGAGAGAAAACTGCCTCCTAGCCTCTGGACGGGATCCCTGGGTAGGAGCTGACACACTCGAGGTTCTCAGTAGATGGGAGATGGGGTGGCCAGGGGCAACCTGGATGTAAGGTGACATTGAGAGAGGACCCAAGCGGGAAGAAGGGGCCTGGGCAGAGCATCAAGCTGGGGGATGGCATGTGCCAAAGTCCTGTGGCTGCGAAGGTCTTGACTTTCTCAGCAGTGGAAAAACGAGGCCAGAGAAGCAGCAGGGTGGATGGGGTGGGGGGAGGGGGGAGGCAGGGAGAGGCACGGAGGGCCCGAAGACCATGGAAGAAGCTGGATTTTCCTGCAAATGCACTGGGAATCTGTGCAGGGTTCTCATTTGGAAAGGGCTGTGATGGATTTGTATTTGGAGAAAACTGCCCTAGCTGCCATGGGGAGCCTGGGCCCCGAGGGGCAGGAGAGCAGGATGGAAACTGTTTCGGGGTGTTGGAGGAAATGGTGGAAGTAGGAACCCGGTCAGATACATGTTTGTATAACTGGGTGCCTCTGAGCCAGAAGTGATCCGTCCCTGGCCACGAGGGACCCAGCCTCCACCATCTGGGATTGAGGCCGCCGGCAGCTTGTGTCCAGGGGCCGGCCTCTCTGCCTCCACCTTGGTTTCTATTTGTGCTCAGGAGGTTGACCAGGGCCCAGAAGTGGCCGAGGAGGTGGTGTTGGCAGCAGAACCTGGCGTAGGGGCCAAGGCTGAGGCCCAGGTGTCCTTGGAGGCTCAGCCTCAGCCCTTGCTGGCCACGACCAGCGTGAGAAGAGACAGTGTGGGCGTGGAGGTGGTGGTGCTGACTGACGACCTGCTGCCTGTCGTGGACCAGCAGCAGGTGCTTGCCCGGTAAGTGCTGGGGTGTGGGGCTGGTGGGACCCCGTGGCAGGGCAGGAAGGGGCTACACCCCAGGCATGGGGATGAGAGTCACTGAGCCTCCACTCTGCCCCCTGCCCCCTCACCTGGTGGGGCTGAGGAGGCCCGATCCTCTCTCTAGGAGCAAGGGGGCGGGGATGGTGCTATCAGCCGGGCAGGCAGTGCTCTGCTTGGGGAACTGCACAGGGGCCACCAGACTCCCTCAGGCACCTGCTGGGGAGCAGCTGCTCCAGGAGAAAGGGGAGGGACTGTTGCCTGCCTGGCATTTGCAGGAATCCCACAGTGGCATGATGCAGGTTCTCCTCGGCTCCCAGCGAGCCTCCGGTGCCCTCCGGATGTGAGACCTGCTCACCCCAGGGGCAAGCCACCCTGATCAGCCTCAGAGGCTGCCCGCCCGGGGCACTCTGTGCCAGCCACTTAACATTTCTGAGTGTTGGTTCTCACTTCTGGAAATGAGAATAACGTCAGGCTCACCTCCGTGACAATCAGCCCCACGGCGAGTGGGTCAGCTTCCTCCTAGCGGTGGCAAACTCAGTCCCACCGTCCACGGTGCAAACGTGAACTGAGCAGGGGCTGCGTGCTGGGAGCCAGGAAGCAAGGGTGAATGAGCTGCCACCTTGGCCTTCAGGGGGCCCATGGTCCAGGGGGAGGCAGCTAGCCAGGCCCACAGAGGGCCTGCTTCTGCAGTGTGAGAAGCCAGTCGGTTGTGCAGTCGACTGTCTGGGCTCCCATCCGCCTCCACCACTACCTACCTCTATGACCTGGGCCAACTTTTAAACCTCCCTGCGCCTCAGCTTCTCATCTACAAAATGGGTGATAATAAGAGCTCCAGTTTGAGAAGCTCATCGTGAGGGTCGAATGAGACCACACCTGCCGAGCATCAGGCCCCAAGAGAACTCTGCGCACGTGGCCGTGTTCAGGGTGTGGTCCGGAGCATGGTCAGGGAAGGCTTCACAGAAGCCTTCATTTTCCGTTTCTGAGAGTAGCTTTGCTTAGCTCCACCTGCATGTTTGCAGGCCAGATGCCTCAGGGTGGCACAGTAGTGCAGTGCAGGGGAACAGCCCGGCTGTTTGGAGAGCACGCCGCTAGGAGAGCTGGAGCGAGCTCGGTGGGGGCTGCCGAGGGAGATGGTGAAGCACCAGGCCCCAGTGCCCCGAATATTGCTCACAGCCCAGGATGCTCTGCTCATGTGGGGTGCCGGGGAGCACGGCCGCCAGCCTGCTGCGCTGTGGGGACCGTGGGCTCCGGGAGGCCCGGGGCGGGTGGCGGGTGGGTCAGCTCTGGTCCGCGGGGAGATGCTTGCCCATCCTGTCGTGCGGCTGTGTGCACGGGCCTGGGTGGATCTGCTCTGACCCCGGCCAGAGGCCTCGCCTCTCTGAGCCCGTGCCGTGTTTGGGAGGGGTGGTTGCGAGGCCTCCACAACGTCCTGCTGGACAGCAAGCTCGCGGTGATGGCCTCGCACCGTCACGCGCACCTTCCTCTCCCTGCCGGCAGTTTGCAGCTGTTGGAGCAGCAGGTGGTGGGGGGGGAGCAGGCCAAGAACAAGGACCTGAAGGAGAAGCACAAGCGGCGGAAGCGGTACGCGGATGAGCGCAAGAAGCAGCTGGTGGCAGCCCTGCAGAACTCCGACGAGGACGGCGGCGACTGGGTGCTGCTCAACGTCTACGACTCCATCCAGGAGGAGGTGCGGGCCAAGAGCAAGCTGCTGGAGAAGATGCAGAGGAAGGTGAGGCCCCCCACGCCCGGGTGGCCCTCCGCGTTTGTAAGTCCGCATTTATTCGGTGCCTGCTGTGTGCCTCGCCAGCCCTGGAGGCAGTCCCAGTGACGCATGGCTGCTGGGCTGGGAGAGGGTGTGTGACAAATGGGACAACAGAGGACCAAGCAGGACAGCACCGGACAGTGACAGTGCTGTGAAGGCGATTCTAGGGGAGGGTGGTGATGTAGGAAAGACGTTGGAGTTCAAAGCCCACGGCCAAGAAAGGATTCTGAGACGTCCTTGGTGCAAAAAGGTGGTTTATTAAAGCACGGGGACAGGACCTATGGGCAGAAGGAGCTGCACCAGGGTCACGAGGAGTGTTCCGTTATATACTTTCAAGTTGGGAGGGGGTCAGGGATAGTTTAAGTCTCTAAGGAATTCTGGAAGCAAGGTTTCCAGGACCTTGAAGGGGCTAGCTATTGTTGGGGAAAGGTCATTTATTACTGACTAATAAAACCTGAGTCATGAGACCCTTCAGGTGTATATCGGTGGGCCATATGCTTAGGGGGTGATCGCCAACACGTATCTTGGGGGGTAGAGAAAAAGGAAGTTTCCAAAAGAAGTTTTATATGTTAAAGTAGACTTACAGGATGGGGTGAGGGTGGGGGGGTCGGGCTAGGATTGCCTTTTGCCCTTACTTAGCAAAGTGTCAACATCAAGGCAGTCGAGTCCCTAGAGGAGTGTCACTCTGCCTGTTTCAAGGACTTGTCAATGGGCTGTAGGCAGTAAGGAAATTTAATAATTTTTCCTCCTGCCTTTGTTTCCCACATCAGGTGGCTTTAGTTTTATTTTTTCATTTGGATTGCAGCACACGTGCAAATGACAAGTGCACAACTTAACTCATTTCCACAAAGTGAACGCACTCATGAAACCAGCACCCACACTGGGGAACTGAGCATCAGCGGAACCCTAGAAGTTCTCGGGGCCACCTTGGGTGGGGGGGCAGGGAAGTTCTCCTGGAGGTGGTGACTTCCGAGGTGGGACCTGAACCTTAGGAGAGGTGGGGCCCGGTCGTGACCAAAGGAAGAGCCTTCCAGGCCGAGGGAGGGGCCAGTGCTGAGTATGAGGTTAGTGGCTCTAGGAGCAGAAGGGAGGCGGGTGTGACTGAGCGCAGGGAGTGAGGACAAGGCTGGAGGAGCTGCTGTCTGCTTCCCTCCGTGCACCCTCGGGGGCTCTGGGCCCTGACACGTCCCCCTCAGCCGACCGCAGGGCACCCCTCATCCCCATCCAGCACCACCAACCCAAGGATCTCGCCAAAGCAGAAGCTGATGCTTTTCCCTCTTTGAACCTCTGTGGTGTTCACATTTTCTTGGCTATTTTCATGCTTTTTCTTAATAGCTTTTTTATGTTTTCGGCCAAATTTGTTCTTCCTGGGATATCTTGTAATTTGGTCTACGCACCTAAGTTTTGAAAAATTCTTTCTGGAGTTCAGCTAAATGTCCCATTTTACACCTTCTTCGTTTCTGTCCATTTCCACTTTAAGATTTTGGATTACTGGTTTGAAGTGTTCATATGTGTGAATTGCAGGATATTTTATTCACATCAGGATGTTGGGTTACATTTTGGTTCTGTGTGCTCGTGCTCTGTGGGGGAATTTTCTTCTGAAATGCTTTGATTTTCATTTTCTGTTTCTTACAGCAGCTTTGATTAGCTACTTCTGCTCTTTTCTGTGTATTTTGCAGTATCTTGTTTTTCTGCACTTTCAAGACCAGCTGAAAGCAGAGGTGAGGTTTTGGGCGGCTGGCTGGGTTTGCTCAGTCGACAGCATGCTCTTCTGTTCCTATAGTGAAGTGCAGTGTTAGACGGTTCCCTATTGCTGTGGTAGTTAGCCTCTCACCGCAAATAGAGTTGCCTAAAAGAACACAAATTTATCATCTCACAGTTCTGTGGGGCAGGGTCCAGCTCCAGCATGACTGGTTCCTCTGCTTAGAATTCTCTAAGGCTGAAACCAAGGTGTTGGCAGGGTTGCGTTTCCTTCAGAGGTTCTAGGGAAGAATCCATTTCTCAGGTTGTTGACCGGATTCAGTCCTGTGTGGTTATAGGACTGAGGTGCTCACGTCCTTGCTGGCTGTCTGCTGGGGGTCATTCTGTTTCTAGAGGCAGCCTGCCTTTCCTGCCTCCTGGCCCCCCCTCAGAGACCACCGGGGCCAGCTCCTCCTAGGCTTCAGCTCTCTGACGCTACTCCTGTCTCCTTCATCTGAAGCATCTCTTTTAACGCCTGTCCACTGCCTGGCTCTCTGCGCCCCTTCCATAAGGCCCACGTGGTTACACTGGGCTCACCGGATGATCCAGGATCATCTCCCTGTCAACAGATTAATAACTTTAATTCCATTTGCAAAGTCTTTTTTGCTGTGTAAGAGAAACATAGTCACTGGCACATACCAAGGGGTGGCAATCATAGGGGTTGATCATAGGGGTTGCCTTCCAAATTTTGCTCTCACTTTTGGGTCCCCCCCCCGTCTCTCTCTCTTTATCTCTCTTGGTAGGAGGGGTCCGTGTGCCTTTTGTGATTTTCTCTTGTTTCTGCAGGACTTTCATTTTGCACCTCAAGGAGTCTCCCACTTCTAAACACCCTCCAGAAGCGATGCCTTGCAGAGACTAACCCCTCAGTCTCTCCAGAGACTTGCAGAGACCCAGTCTCTGTATTTTTGCCATACGAAAGAATTTTTTAAAGTTTTATTTTGTCAAATTATCAACTTTCTATTATTGTGTGTAGATTCTGAGTCACAGTTGGCAAAGTTCATTTATGTTTCCTTCTAGAACTTGTATAGTTTCTTTCTTTCTTTATATTTTTATTATTTATTATTATTATTTTTTTAGACAGCGAGTGAGCAGGGGGAGGGGTAGAGGGAGAGAGAGAGAATCTCGAGCAGACGCCCTGCTGAGCGAGGAGCCCGATGCGGAGCTCAATCTCATGACCGTGAGATCACGCCCTGAACTGAAATCAAGAGTTGAGCCACCCAGGCGACCCATCTTTCTTTCTTTTTTATATTTAAATCAGATCCACTTGGAATTTATCCTGGTGCCTGTGTGAAGAGCTGATTCCATTTTATTCGTTCCACATGGCTCTCCTTGTTTCCTAGCACCGGTTTTCGAAAAGTCCACTTATTCTCCACTAACTTCAGCTGCTGCCTTTATGGTTTGCTAAAGCCCTATAAACACTTAGATGTATTTCTGATTTTTCTATTCACCTCTCTTGCTGTATCTATTCATATACCAGTGCCACCCACTTTATTTGAAATCCAGGGACTTTATAATATGTTTTATAATTTCATAGGGTTAATCCTCTGTCAATGGTTTTCTATTCCAGGTTTTTCCTGGATATTCCTTCTTGGTTTTTGTTTTTGTTTTTTGTTTTCTTCCAAAATGAGCTATATAAACAACTGGGCTAGTGCAAAAGTAAAAAAGGGAGAGAAGTAAAGAAAAAAATTGGTGGAATTTTTGGGGGAATCATGTTATATCTATACATTAGCTTGAAGGTATTGATACCCTCATGAGGTTATTGATACCCTCATGAGGTTGTATTTTTCTGTCCAGGAACATGGTATATCTTCTGTTAGGTCAGATCAATTTTTGTGTCACTCAAGAGTATTTTATAAATTTCCTCACATAGGTTTTGAACATATCTTGTTAATTTCACACCTAGGTATTTCATTTTATTTGCTTTCCTCTGTGGGATAGCCTGTTCCATTATGTCTTCTCACTGGATTTTATTTGTTTTTTTTTTAAGATTTTATTTATTTATTTGAGAGAGAGAGAATGAGAGAGAGCACGAGAGGGAAGAGGGTCAGAGGGAGAAGCAGACTCCCTGCTGAGCAGGGAGCCCGATGCGGGACTCGATCCTGGGACTCCAGGATCATGACCCGAGCCGAAGGCAGTCGCTCAACCAACTGAGCCACCCAGGCGCCCTGGATTTTATTTGTAAAATGAGGACTATTGGCTTTAAGAAATATTTTTTAAAGATAATTGTGAAATAGAAGGGAACACTTATTAATTTATTGTATGGGGCCAATGTCACCTGATAACAAAACCATAGAAAGACATAAGAAGAAAACTATAGACTAATATTTCTTACGAATATAGACACAAAATGCTCCACAAGATACTAGCAAACCAAATTATACATCATGCCAAAGTGGGATTTATCCTAGGAATGCAAGGTTGGTTTAGTATCCCAAAATCAATTAATGCAATATACCATATCAATAGAATAAAGGACAAACCCCACGTGATCATCTTAATGATGCAGAAAAGGTATTTGAAAAAAATTTAATACCTGTTATCATAAAAACAGTCAGGAAACTAGGAATAGAAGGGAACTTCTTCATTCCGATAAAAGGCATCTATGAAATGTCCACAGGTAACATCATACTTAATGGTGAAAAACTGAATGCTTTCCCCCTAAGATTAGGAACAAGACAAGGATGTCTGCTCTCACCACTTCTAGTCAACATTGGGCTGGAGGTTCTAGCTAGGGCAGTTAGGCAAGAAAGTGAAATAAAAGGCACTGAGATTGGAAAGGAATAGATAAAACTATTTCTATTTACAGATGACATGATCTTTTATGTAGAAAGTCCTAAGGAATCCACTAAAAAAAACCCTAACTACTAGAATCAATTAACAACTTCAGAAAGGTTGCAGGATACAAGATCAATAAGCAAAAAGCAATTGTATTTCTACATACTTACAATGAACAATCCACAAATAAAATTAAGAAAACAATTCCATGGGGCACCTGGCTGGCTTAATCTGTAGAGCATGTGACTCTTGATCTCAGAGTTCAAGCTCCACATTAGGCAAGCTCCTTAAATAAAAATGTATAATATCCATAAACATTAAAAAAAAGAAAATAATTCCATTTGCATTACATCAAAAAAGAATAAAATACTTAGGAATAAATTTAACAAAAGAAGTGTAAAGCTTATATTCCAAAAACTATAAAACATTGTTGAAAGAAATTAAAAATACCTAAATAAATGGAAAGACACCCCATGGTCATGGATTGGAAGACTTAATATTGATAAGATGATACTCTTCAAACTGATCTATAGATTCAAGCAATCACTATCAAAGTCCCAGCTGACTTCTTTGCAGCAATTGACCCTAAAGTTCATATGGAAATTCAAGGGACAGAATGGCCAAAACAATCTTAAAAAGAACAAAGTTGGAGGACTCACACTTCCTGATTTCAGAACTTACTACAAAATTACAGTAGTCTAGACTGTGTGGTACTGGTATAAAGACAGGCATATAGATCAATGGAATGGGATTGAGAGTCCCATAAATAAACTTTCGTGTTTATAGTCAGTTGATTTTCAACAAGGGTGCCAAGATTATTCAGTGGAGAAAGGACAGTCTTTTCAACAAATGGTGTTGGGACAACTAGATGCCCACATGGCAAAGAACGATGTTGAACCCCAACCTCACACCATATACACAAATTAATTCAAAATGGATCAAAAAACTAAATGTAAGAGCTAAACTATAAAACTCAAAGGTGTAAATCTTTGTTACCTTAAATTAGACACTGCCGGGGCACCTGGGTAGCTCAGTCAGTTAAGCAGCTGCCTTTGGCTCAGGTCATGATCCCAGGGTCCTGGGATCAAGCCCCAAGTCGGACTCCCTGCTCAGTGGGGAGTCTGCTTTTCCCTCTCCCTCTGTGCTCTCGCTCTCGCTCTCACTCTCTCTCAAGTAAATAAATAAAATCTTAAAAAAAATAAATTAGACATTGCTTTCTTAGCAAAAACACAAAGGAAAAAAATAGATACATTGGACTTAATCAAAATTAAAACTTTTGTGCTTCAAAGGATGCTATCAGGAAAGAGAAAATACAGCCCATAGATTGAGAGAAAATATTTGCAAATCATATATCACAATGAGGTGCTTATATCCAGAATATATAAAGAACACTTACAACTCAAGAATAAAAAGACAATCCAATTTAAAAATGGGCAAAGGATCTGAACAGACATTTCTCCAAAGAAGATAAACAGATGGCCAATAAGCACAAGAAACGGGGCTGAACATCATCAGCCACCAGGGAAATGCAAATCTGCAATGCAAAATTACCATCTATGGTATAGAGATACCATCTCACACCCACGGGGGTGGCTGTAATAAAACAGATAATAACAAATGTTGGCGAGGATGTGGAGAAATGAGTGCCCTCATACATTGCTGGTGGGAATGTAAAATGGTGCAGCTGCTTTGGAAAATAATCTGGCAGTTCCTTAGTTGGTTAAACATAGTGTTACCCCATGACCAGAAGTTACAAGCAAGAGAAATGAAAATAGGGCCACATAAAAACTTGTACACTAATGTTCATAGCAGCATTATTCATTATAGCCCCAAAGTGGAAACAATCATGAATGGAAAATAAAATGTAGTATATCCACATGGTGGAATATTATTTGGCAATAAAAAGGAATGAAATCCTGGGGCTCCTGGGTGGCTCCATCATTTAAGCATCCAACTCTTGGCTTCGGCTCAGGTTGTGATCTCAGGGTCGTGAGATCGAGCCCTGTGTCGGGCTCCATGCTCAGTGGGGAGTCTGCTTGAGATTCTCTCCCTCTCCCTCTGCCCCTCCCACTCTGTCTCTCTCAAATAAATAATCTTAAAAAAAAAAAGAAGTCCTGATACATGCTCCAACATGGATGAATCTTGAAAACACTGTGTTAAGTGCAAGAAGCCACACACAAAAGATCATATAGCGTATGATTACATTGATACGAAATCTCTGGAATAAGCAAATCTAGAGAGACAGAAAGTAGATTGGCGGTTGCCTGGGGCTGGAGGTTGGGTACTTGTGGGGGTGGGGTTTATTTCTGGATCGTGAGATGTTCTAAAACTGACTGTGCTGATAACTGCACTACTCGGAATATACTAAAAACCATTGAATTGTACATGTTAAATGGGTGAATTGTATGACATGGGAATTATATCTCAATAAATTTGTTACAAAAGTCACTGTGAAAGATTCCAGATCCTTCCAGATGTACAAAAATATATAAAGCTTTTTACCATTAACGCCATGTATCTACCATCCAGCTTAAGGAATGGAGCATTATTAATTGCCCACCTGTGTCCTACCAGGTAGCGTCTGTTCTCACCTGGTTATAGGTGATGACCATTCCCATGAACTTAAAACGTCCTTCTTTACTAATCAAACTGTACCTGCTCTTTGAGAAAACAGACTACGCACCCAGGAGTCTTGGGGCTCAGGGAGGGCATGGTTACGGTTGCAGCTGGGAGTCACCTGTGCTTGTGGGGCATCTCCATTCAGGCAGACCCGGGCAGGAGATCACAAAAGTGTGGAATCCAAGGTCAAATCAGGGTAGGTCTGCCTCTTTAAGTCCGGTGTCTGTCACATTGTGACTTGACCGTGGCTGTGGGAGAGCAAGGGCTGCTGAGGCTGAGACTTTATGCCTCTGCTCCCCTCAGGAATAGGATTTATACAATTTCCTGACATCTTTTAGGACGTGGTGACCCCAGTGTTATGTGTGGAGCCTTCCCAGAGGCTCCTGGCTAAAATGTGTTTGTGTGGGATCGTCCCACGGGACCGGCTTGGGGGGCTGATGAGCGGGTTCTTTCCCTGTTTTCTGCAGGGCTGTGGACACAGTAGGTGCTCATTTAGTGCCGGCGGACAGACGGGAGGCAGGTGCGGGTGGATGGGTGGGTCAGCACCCAGATGGCGAGTGGGTGGCTGGAGGTGCAGACAGTGGGTGCGGAGGGCGGACGGATGGCCACATGGCTCGGTGTCTTCCCTGCTCACTGCTCGTCGCCCCCTGACCCCTTGCTTTCAGCTGCGGGCAGCAGAGGTGGAGATCAAAGACCTGCAGTCGGAGTTCCAGCTGGAGAAGATCGATTACTTGGCCACCATCCGCAGGCAGGAGCGGGACTCCATGCTCTTCCAGCAGCTCCTGGAGCAGGTGCAGCCCCTCATCCGCCGGGACTGTAACTACAGCAACCTGGAGAAGATAAGGCGCGAGGCCTGCTGGGACGAGGACAATGGCTTCTGGAAGATCCCCGAGCCCATCATCATAAAAACCAGCCTCCCAGTAGGTCAGGCGCTTGGCTGTCCCCTCAGCCCTCAGCCACGCAGCTTGCCCTCCTGTGGGCTGACCCGGAGCTGGGGCCCCGGCCTTGCTGGCTGTGGGTGCAGCAGTCAGGGGACCTGGGGGCTCCGAGACGGTGGGGAGCTGAGAGAGAAGTGGTGTGTCCTGGAGTCACACAGATGTGGGTTGGAATTCTGGCTCCACTGTTTCCTGTGTGGCCTCTTTGGGACTCAGCGTCCTCATCTGTGAAATGGGGATTAGTAACCGCACCTTCCGTAAAGATCGCTGGGTGGCTTAGCCTGTGTTCATGCGTGTGAAACCCTTAGTGCCCTGCCTGGCACATGGCAAGTGAGTGCTACGTTTGATCACTGTCATGACCGCCACTCATTACCTCCCCCAACAAGCCTGGGCAGGGCAAAGATGATTACACCTGTTTTACATCTGAGGAGATGGAACCTCAGAGAGAGAAGTGACTGAACCAGAGTCCCAGTCAGGGCAGTGAGTCCTAGGACCAGGGCAGTGAGTCCTAGGACCAGGGATAGAAACTGGGTCACCTTCTGCTTTTGCCGCTGATTTCTGTGTGACCCTATGAAGGTCACTGTTCCTCTCTGGGCCTTGGTCTGGGATCTTCACAAAGAAGGGGTTAGGGAAGGTGGCCTTGAAGGCCTCTCCACCTCCACCGGTCTCAGTAAGGTCTGTCTCCGGCCTCACAGCTGGGAGCGCCCCCCGTCAGAGAATGTTCGTGCAGGTCCTGCATCTCTGAGTTTACAGATGGCCACTGACACCCCCCTGTGGGGAGGCCAGCCAGCTCCATTTCCCAGAGGCAGGCATCCATCAGTTTCTCCTGCCCCCACTGACCTGCTCTGTTGAGGAAGCAGGGGAATGGCTGCTTTGGCATCTGAGCCCTCCTGGTCTCTGTTTCCCAAAGTCATCCCGTGGCCTGGGCTGGGCAGTGTGCTCCCTGGCTCCAGGCCTGTGAGCTCGGGGGAGTGCTGCCGTCCACCCTGACCCTCTGGCCCACGGACTAGGGACCAGGCAGCAGTGCCTTCAGCTTGTGTTTCTCATAGCAGTTCCAACGGGGCCACAGAACAAAGTAGTCCGCAAAAACTCTGCAGCAGACAACGGTGAACCAGGCACGGTAAGGCCTGTGGGAGAGGGGGTGAGGCACGGGGAGCTGGCGGGGCGGGGGCGTGGCTTGCGGGTCAGCCTCACTATAGGGCACTGGGCTTCTACTTTCATCCCACCTGAGGGTCAAAGCAGGAGGCTGAGCCTGGATCTTTTCTGCGTCACTCTGTTGGACCCTCGCCCTGCTCTGACCTTCATTCAAAGGCACTTACGGTCCTAGAGACCAGAGGGAAAGTGGGTGGTACAGGGTAGCCCGTCCTGCTGGTGAAGGACAAGAGCTGCGTCTCCAGTCTCAGAGGCGGGCCGCACGTTCTGGTTCCCTGGGCCGTGGCTGGTATCCTCGGACAAAAGTGGCCCGCAAGGATCCACAAAATAGTAATCGGGCTTCTGAAGTCACTTTGTTCTCCTATCTCCCATGTTTTGTGTTACAATAGAAATAGACCTCCTCCAAGCGGAGGTCAGGAAACCTTCCTGTAAAACACCACACCTTTCCGTGTCTTCTTCACCTCTTAGCTCTGCCTCCCTTGCAATGCTAGCTTCAGGCTCAGGCAGGCTTTCTCGGCCCAGCAGCAAAGATGCCGCCGGCAGCTGGTGATCCAAGAGGAAGAGACCAGTTCTCTTACCGCATCTTAAACCAACACTTGTGGAAAGATTCTGATCAGCTCTGCCTGGGTCAGGGGCCCGCTGTTGGACCAGTGACTATGTCCGGAAGATGTATTTCTGTGGCTGGTTCGGGCTGGGTCACATGCCCAGTTGTGCAGCCAGGGGGTGGGCGCGAGGGAGTGGTGGTGGCAGAGGACTGTGAATGACCGCCTCACCAGGACCGTGTCACGGGGGAGAAGGGTAGTTCCTGAAGGGAGATTCAGGCTTAGGCAAACAAGTCCATTAGAGTGGTGAAAAAGCACAGTCTTTGGTGATAAGAGATGGGGGCTCCAGTTCTAATGACTGATTGTGCCCACGGGCTGAGTCCTGTATTATCTATTCTATGAATACGTCGTGATGGATTTGGGCTATGTGGAGCTGGACGACAAGGCACTTCCCACGACAGGGACGGCAGGTGGCGTAGGCTTGGCCGGAGCGGTGACTCTCCTGCCCTGAGTTGCCTGGATCCCACCCCGGGAGTCTGGGGTCTCTAGTAGGGTCCACAGGGTGGGCCAGGAGGCTCAGGGTGGCCCCCACCCCACCAGGCTTGCAGAGGGGTCTTGTACAAACAAGGCGTCTTGACCCACGGGGATCTGAATCTCAGCAGGAAGAAGACCGCTACAAGCTGATGCTCAGTCGGAGCGACAGTGAAAACATTGCCAGTAACTACTTCCGGTCCAAGCGAGCCAGCCAGATCCTCAGCACGGATCCCATGAAGAGCCTCAGTGAGTGCCCTGCCCACCTCCTGTCCTCCAGCCCCTCCCCGGCCCTTGGCCAACCGTGGGAGAGGCGTGATGGGCGGATTGGAGTGAGGCCCGGGTTAGAAACCCCTGCCCATCCCTGAGCCTCTGTTCCCTCTGCTGTACACATGCCTACCTCCAGGGTGAGGTGAGGTGAGGTGGGGGAGCGGCCCAGCCCAGCGCCGGGCACATGGTACACGCTCCATGCCCAGACTCCCTCTTCCTGTCCCCCTTCCTCCTCTGGCACAGAGCTGCAGTGTTTGGTTCCTCTGTCTCCCCTGACACACAGTAGGCCTGCGCCACACAGCTGGGTGTCCTGCCATGTGCTGCCCAGGTCCGGCTCAGTTGCTCCCCAGCTTCCGCAGATGCCAGTGGGGTGGCTTTCTTCCACGGAGCCAAAGGGGGCAGACAGGGCCGTAGAAGCGGGACACTTTTTTTTTTTTTTTTAAAGATTTTATTTATTTATTTGACAGAGAGATAGAGAGCACAGGTAGGCAGAGAGGCAGACAGAGGGAGAGAGAGAAGCAGGCTCTCTGCTGAGCAGGGAGCCCGATGCGGGGCTCAATCCCAGGACCCTGGGATCGTGACCTGAGCCGAAGGCAGACGCTTAACGACTGAGCCACCCAGGCGCCCCAAAGCGGGACACTTTTAAAAGAATTGAAAATCACTTTGTTCTTCCATTTCTTTTTTTACTTTTTAAGATTTTATTTATTTATTTGAGAGAGAGAGAGAGCATGAGAGCACAGGGGGAGGGGCAGAGGGAGAGGGAGAGTCTTAGGCAGACTCCCCATTGAGTGTGGAGCCCGACCCGGGGCTCAATCTCACAACCCTGAGATCATGACCTGAGCCAAAACCACGTTAAGTGTCGGACACTTAACTGACTGAGCCACCCAGGTGCCCCTCGTTCTTCCATTTCTAAAAGCAAAACCAAAGGCCACAGAGCTTCTAATAAAATATCCACGAAAAGCAAATCTCAGTTCTACATTGAGACTGTTGAGGAGGCAGAGTTCAGTAGAGTTGAGGATCAGGAGGGGAAAAGAGCACAGGAAACAAATGAACATCAGTTGAGGACCTGGCACTGTGCCCATGTTGCAGATGAGGAAACTGAGCCCCCGCCCCCCCGCTAAGGTCACACTTGCACGAAGCTGGGCCCTGAGTGCAGGCCTGTCTGGCTCACTCGTGGGTCAAGACTCCTTGCTTGTACAACTCTCACCTCTGCAAGCCTGGTGGGGTGGGGCCGCCCTGGGCCTCCCGGCCCACTCTGTGGACCCTGCTAGAGCCTCTAGAACTCCAGGCTCCTGGCCCAGACCCTCTGGGGGCCCAGCCGTGGGACCAGACCTCCAGCTGTGTGGGGTGGGGCGGGCTTCCCATCCCTGCACCCCCTGGCTCACGGGCTCCTCTGCCCGCTTCTTCACAGCGCATCACAGCTCGCCCCCCGGCCTCAGCTCCCCACTCAGCAACACCTCTGCCATCTCGCCTACCCAGGCCCCCGAAATGCCCCAGCCCCGGCCCTTCCGCCTCGAGTCCCTTGACATCCCCTTCACCAAGGCCAAGCGAAAGAAAAGCAAAAGCAGCTTTGGCAGTGAGCCTCTGTGAACGCGGCCTCCTGCGGCTGTCCTGCCCCGGGGCTTCCGTGAGACTGCCAGCCCCCCCCTGCCCCCCAGGGCAGCCCCAGCCAGTCCTCCTCACCCCTGCCCCTATGGTGTCTGGATGCCCGAGGGGGTCCTTGCCCTGGAAAGAGCCTTTCCCTTCCCTGTTACCCAACCTTGCAGAGGTGCGCTCCTGCTCTCCATGCCACGCCACGCCACGCCAGTATTACATCTGCTTCCCTGCCACAGCCCGCCGTGCCCACCCGGGTTATTCTGTGCCTCGATGGGCCCAGAAACCTCAAGGCATTCACCAGCAGCCCCGACAGAGTGGGCAGCAACTTCCGTGTGGATCAAGGACAGCATCTTGGTGATGGACAATCATGCCTCTGTCCACCAGGCCCCTCTTCCTGGGGGAAGCTGGACGGTATAGGCGCGGGAGTCCTGGGGCAACTGTTTCACGCTGCCCACTCCCAGGTGGTCTGTAGCCTCGAGGAGACTGCCCCACATGAAGCTGCCCCAATAAACTGCCTTTTACCGATGAGCTCCCTTCCCCAGTCCTCTGACCGTGTCACTGGGGCCCCTCCTGCTCCTGCTGCCTGGCCTTCACAGGGAAGCGCTTTTGGAGCAGTGTTTAACTACCCGATGCCTTGAAAACAGGCTGCAGGGTTTCTCCAACTCCCCACACTCGTGAGTACAAGTGCATTTTTCTGGGGAGCCAGAAAATCTATGTACCGGGAACATCTCGTTAGCTTCTCAAAAGATCTGTGAGTCAGAAAAGCAGAGCCCTTGTTTTGGAAAACAGAGATTGTGTCTTGCTGAGACCCAGAAAAAGGCCAGGTTTGGACAGTCCTCAGGGGCTGTGCTGGAACTGGATGCCCTGACGTGGCCAGAAATGAACGAAGGCTGTCCGGGCTACTGAGGATATACCCCTCCCGTGCCCTTTGTATCCCACGCCTGCCCTGCGGGAGGGCCCCACCATCTGAGGGAAGAGTTTCAGCCTTTGGTTGAGGAGGAGACTCATTTCACTCTGGGCCCCATCTGTGAAAGGGGAACAGCTGTTCCCTAGAGCTATTGTGAAGCTTCTATGAGAGTAAGTGATGCTCCCGGTACATAGCAGGTGCCTTGCGTTAGTCCCCCTTGTTCCTTCTCCTCTGTATTTTGCATTAATTTACTGTGGTGGATCCCATAGGCCACATGCCTGGACCAAGCTCACGTCCTAGAGATCAATGTAACTGCAGGCAGGCTGCAGTACCCATGTTGAGAGGAAGAGCAGGTCTTTATGGGGAAGAGTGCCCTTGTGAAGGGTAGGGCTATCATAAAGGATGGAGAAGATCCTGGGAGGCTTAAGATGGGAATGGCAGGGGGCGTGAGCAAAGGCAGGAGGTGGGGGGAGTGTGTTAAAGTTTGGAAACTTGCCACAGGGAAGCCCTGAGCCGGGCTGAGAGGAGGATGTGGCTGCGGAGATCAGTTTCAGTGGAAACCTGAGTGAGGAGTCTTGGGTGTCCCTGAGCTGTGGCAGACTCCTAAGCCACCAAATGGCACCATTGGGTCTGAGTTCCAGGTGGACTGGTGTGGGATCATATGCAGAAGGGCAGGAGCGCTGGACTGGGGAACAAGGTAGGGGTGAGGCTGAACTCGCCGTGGAGCCAGTGGAGATGGAGAGGAGGTAGAATCAGTTAAGGAGATGGATGGAGGGAGATTTGGACTTTTGCCCCCACATTCCTGGCTTCGTGGACAAGTGTGAAAGGTCAGAAAGAACGGCTACCTACTCTCTCCACAATTACCTTCACCATTTGCCCCAGGACTGTGGTTGGGACCCAGGGAGTAACCAAAATCTTGGTGCTGCTTGTGGTAGCTTTTACCCAGACCCATGGTGGAGCTGAGATGAGCCCCATCAATTTAGAAGGGGTGGGAGCCAGGATTACTGAGGGGATGCTCAGCCTCACTCTGCACCAACTGCTTCAGAACCTGCCCTAGAGCTCCCACGAGCCCAGGCTTTCCCAAAGGCACGCAGCTAAGTGGGAGAGCTGGGCCTCGCTATCGTTTCTATTTCCAGCCTAGGAGTGGGCCCGGAGAGACGTGAAATGCCCCAGCAGCACGGTTAGTGCGAGGGAGGGGGCAGAGAAATGAACCCAGCGTGAGAGTTTCAGTCGGCAGGCCGGTTCGCCGCCCATCCACGCTGGCTCCCACGTGCGCCACCAGGCCGGGCAGGACAGGCCCGTCCCAAGGCCCCTGGGCCCGTGAGCGGCAGGAGATTCAAAGTGTCCCTCATCTTAGTTTTCCAACCTTTCCGCCCTGGGGATGGTGGAAGTGGGGCCTGGTTCCTAGTCCCGAGTCTATCCTGGGGCTGGGAGGACCCCGCCAGGCAGCACCGGGGAGGTAGTCCCGTGGAGGCAGTCCGTGGAGGCAGTCCGTGGAGGCCACCCCGGGAGCAACTCCCGTGAGGGACTTACCGGACTGATAAAGAGGCGGGACCCAGATCGGGGCGGGAGTCCGGCCTGGGCGGAGCTTACGGGAGCTCGGCCTTGTTGATTGGCTGCGGCTGCGGAGCTGTCTTTCTAGGATTGAGCCTTTTCCTTTGAGGAAGCGGAACCTCTCTCCCCTTCCGCCAATATGGTTCAGAGACTCCGCCCCCAACCGGGGCACTTCCGGTGGTGCTCCCCGCTCTTCTCCGTCCCGGCTGCGGCTCCGGCCGCCTGGCCGCGGCGTACCAAGATCGCTTCCGGGTGTTACTCCAAGACCACGAGCTGCGATTGGGCGGCCTAGACGGGGCACTTCCGGTGCCCAGGTGCTTGGGTTCTTGGCAGGAGAAGGAAGATGGAGCCCGGCGCCGCGGCTCGCGCTTGGTCTCTCCTGTGGCTGCTGCTGCTCTTGCTTGGCCCGGCCTGCGCTAGCGGTCCTCGTACCTTAGTGCTGCTGGACAACCTCAACCTGCGGGAGACGCACTCGCTTTTTTTCCGAAGCCTGAAGGGTGAGACCGGGGCCCGAGGGGGCGGCGGGGGGAGAGTCGGGTTGGAAAGCCCCCCGAATCCAGGGCAGCGACCACCCACCCTCCCTCCTTGCCACTGATTTTCCACCAAGGGGCTGCCCGCTCTGGCCTCTCGCTCGGGGGCGGGGCGGGGGGGCGGTCGTGGTCTCTGCAGCGGTGCTGTCCCTTGGCGTCCCGTCTGCCTCAGCTCCCTGTTTCTTTCTCGTCCAGACAGGGCCTTTGAACTCACATTCAAGACCGCAGATGACCCCAGCCTGTCCCTCATTAAGTACGGAGAGTTCCTGTACGACAACCTCATCATCTTCTCCCCCTCGGTAGAAGGTAAGGGCTACAGGTCGCTCCCAGAACTGGGATTCAAGGCCCACGATTGATCGCTTTCTTCTGGATCTTGTGCATTTTGTGGGTCATGGCATGGGTCACCAGCCCTGGGCACTGCTGCCAAGGAAGAGGAAAGTGTTCAGTTCTGACCTGGGCCCAGGAGGGAATGTCTCCTTTCTAAAAGACACAGCTGAGGGTTGTGGGGTCAAGTGTTGAACAGACCCCGAAGCGCACGCCCTGCTACCCTGAGAAGGCGCTTTTCTCTTATAAAGGGCCTGATGGGAAAGATGGAGAGCGGCCCTGCTTGGGTTAGCTTGTGTGGGTAGAGAAAATGGCATGCCATTAAATAGTTTGCCTACAGAGGCATTGTGATAGTTGATGGTAAGAATTGAGATGGATTCACAGTTTCTCATGGCTAGAACATCAGCCATAATCTAGCCCACTCCCCTATTGGAGATTGGACGGGTATGTCCAGGGCCTAGTAGAGAGCTGGTTGTTGAACAGAATGAATGTCTTCACTGGCTTATCCAATTGATACTTAAGTATTCCTTTGGCAGAGAGCTTACAAGTTGTGCTCAGGTGGATGGGAGCTTCCTGAGAAGGAAGCGAGCTGTGGGTGAGATGGGTTGTGGGGGGAAGTCTGAGCTAGGCTCTTTGGGAATGTCAGAGAACCTGAACAGTGTTTCTCAAATCTTAGTAATTTCCATACCTCCCTCCTGATTTTTACTGTATTCCATATCACCCATTAATAATTGTTTTCTTTAAATTGATCCCTTTAAAAAAAAACTAACAATATTTTAAAAGGAAACCAGTAATGAACCTGGTATCACCACTAAAAATAGAAAGCCAGTATTATCACTTCTTTTCAGTAGAAGGTAACTATAAATAGAGTAAACGCTGTAAGTTCTAGCCAGCTTCTGTTGCTAAAGGCTGAGTCCAGGGCTTCCACTTAAAGGAGACTAGCAAACGTTAGAGAAGTGTTAAGATCAGTATCAAACTGGGGCGCCTGGGTGGCTCAGTCATTAAGCGTCTGCCTTCGGCTCAGGTCATGATCTCAGGGTCCTGGGATCGAGCCCCATGTCCAGTTCCCTGCTTCGCGGGGAGCCTGCTTCTCCCTCTCCCTTTGGCTCTCCCCCTGCTTGTGCTCTTTCTCTGTCACTATCTGTCTCTGTCAAATAAATAAAATCTTAAAAAGATCAGTATCAAACTAAAACATTCTCTTTGATGGAGCAGGCTTCAAAAATAATTGGAAAGGGAAGAAGTCTCTCTGAGATTCAGTATTGTTTAAAGCTCTGCCCCACATCACTGTTGCACCTTTTCTGCGCCTAGCACGTAAGTCTCACATGCTGCAGGGAAGCTTCATGGGTGCTCCTGGGGAGAAGGCTTGTCTGTGCTGGGGGTGTTCATGGTAAGAGTTTGGCCCTGGCTCTGAGGGCCCTTCCGTGCTACTCTGACTTACCGTTAGCCCTCTCAGGTATGAGAACCCGGCCTGGCTTCCTTCCCCATGCATCAGTGGGTTCCTCGCTGACTCTGGGATTAGGAAGCTCGCAAGTCACATGCAATGATGGCCATAGAAGAATGATCCTTAGCACATCCTTTGTACCCGGAAAAAACTAGGTCCTGTTTTATAGATGGGCACATGGGCTCAGAAGGGTGGAGGGGTTTCCTAGATTCAAGCCCAGGTAGCTCTGTCTCACAGCCTAGGTTCTTGCCACTGTACAAGGATTTCACAACAGTGGCGCTTCTGGACACTTGGGACTGGATAATTCTTTGTTGTAGGGGGCGGTCTTGTGCACTGTAAGATGTTTAGCATTCTGAGCCTGCACGCACTAGATGGCAGTAGCCACCTCCAGACATTGCTCTTA